CTAATGAACAACAAGAAAAACAATGAAACAAGAATAGGGAGGGACTGTTCCCACCCTATTCCATCCCCAGAAGAGACAATCCCATATTCCGAGGATAGATTTGAGGTATAAAAGCCATTGCAAAATTGGGAGGATGGAATCATTGAGCTCCACTTGCTGACTCTGACACTCTGGACTAACAAGTAGTGATTCGTAGTGCCTGAGCAGAGGAATTGAACGAATTAGACGAGTTAGACTGATTAAACTGTTGGATTCATGATGACTTGGTTGTCTTTTGGATTATTGGTGATGCTAGGGATTGCTATCACCGAGGCTAGATCATTGGCGAAGGCACCTGGTGAGTAACAATCAGAAGTAACATTATAAAATTAATTTCAAAGGTTAATGTTTGTGTTAATGTTGCAGTCTCCATTGTGCTGGGTCCCAATGCTCGGGAAATGCTGATGATGCGGTCGAAGAGACACCCAGTGCCCTATCCCCAAAGAGCACTCATGATTTCTGGATATTATCGACCAACACGATCTGATCCTCTCACTGGTGTCTTCGCTCAAGGTAATGCTGTCAGTGGTAGGTCTTCTCTAGGAGGAACTCATCCAAATTATCTACAATCTGGTCCAGAACCTGCGGACGATGTGACTAGTGCAGCGGCAGAGGCTGCACCAGATGGTGGAGATGGTAATGAGGAAAATTATTCAGATGATCGAACTGACGAGCAGCCACAGGATGACATTCAACCGGTAATTCATTCCTAGAACTGCATGTGAAGATTTTTTCGTTGATGAATCATTTCGTTCAGGTTTTGAATAATTTTTAGTGAATATTCTTGAATATTCAATATTCGATTTAAATTGCTGTTTATTATTGGGTTGATAGTATGGCACCGACGCTCCAGGATCAGACAAATCAATCACTGGAGAAAATAATCCAGCAAAGCGTCCAGTGAAGGCTAATAAAGCCACGAAAAAAAACAAGAAGACAACTGCAGATGAGAGTGAGGAAGAAGTTGAGGAGGAGAGCGACGAGGAAGAGTTGTATGATAAGAAAAGGGGGCGACTACCGAATTTCAACAATTTTTTTCCTATGGTCTTCAGATTTCCAAACTCCTATGGCCACAGGGGATCAGAATCTGAGGGATCACCCCCTGGGATGATAACGGCTATTGCCAATAGTTATTCCACAGGAAAGGGTGGAATTGCTAGCTCCATCGCAACAGCTTATGGAGGAACTCCCAATGGGTAATAATAATCTGTAATTATAACTTAAAACATTGTGAATTAACAATTCATTTTTGATTTTGATAGGAAGAAGAAACGTGTCAAGACCACGGAGGAATAATATCCAAAACTCTTCGATGTGAGGAAAATTCCATCAATGGAATAATTATTAATCGACAGATTAGGTTTTCTCGATGTAAATGTTGGGTTCTTAGAATGTAATAATCCCTTTCAATTTGAATAATTGTGAATGAATTATTTCAAATTTAATAAATAAGAATTTTATAATTAGTATCTGAGTTTGTGTTTCACTACGGATTTTAATGATTTTTATTTTGGTGCATGTGTGATCTCTTGGGGAATCAATGGGTGAATTATTTTGAAGTCTCAGGGTCAATAACACTGGCCTCCACTGCTGGCAATGAATTATGTTCGCCCGGGGCAGCTTTCTATCTTATTAGCGTACGATGACGCACCAAAATCAGACAGGGAATTCCCAGAACTCTCAAGTACACGTCCCTCTTGTCCAACAAATGGAGAATGTCTCATGGCAATCCGGGAATTTCATTCAACAAGAAAATCAACATCCATTTTAGCATAAAAATTGTCATGAGATTCTATTAGCGGTGAAGATACGAGGAAGGTCCTTGAGAAATTTCCATACGATACATCAAATCACTCCCATAAATGTGGAATTGCCCAAGTAAATATTTATCGCTCAATGATATTCACTGGTGAGACGCATGAAAATACAATTAGCGACACATAGTTGGTGGTTTTTGAAAAATCCCATGGGAATAACCCAGACCGGTTTCACCGATTTAAAAGAGCGGCTAATCATCTCTGAACGTCAGTTCTTCGTTTACGATAGGACAGTCGAGTCGTGAGATCTCAAGCTCAAGTGAAAAAAAAAATGGCTAAACTCCTTGCAGTTGTCATCCTTTTGATTGTGACATGTGCATCGGCGTATCCGACCATTCAATCCGATGAACAAGGTAATCAAATCTATTTACTTGAATGATTTTTTTTTGGAGATCTCCACGAGACATTTACGTCGAAGATAAAACTTTTGTTTGGACGTAAATTTTTCCACGCGATTTCAGTCGATATCTCGAAAATGAAACAAGATGACGATTTTTCCATAGAAACCTTTTTGGTAGATCTACATTTTTTCTATAAAAAATGTTTATATAAAAAATTAATTTTGTCCTTTCAATTCGGAGATACTGACGAAAAACTGGCGACGAAAAAAAATGCACTTCTCCTGATTTACTACTCCGCTGCTGAATTGAAATCAGCAATATTTGATAATTGTTTATCCGCAAATTATCGGGGATTCCCAGCTTTTTTTGAAGTACATATGTGGTTTTACTGCTGAATATTCATCCCTCTGATTTTACTCCTGAGAGTAATCTAATTCGAAGTCCTGAACAACAAATTGCAGATAGAGATTTCAAGGTGAGAGTGGCTAGATCGCCAGGTCCTGATCCACTTCATCACCATCATCATTACGGCGGATATGATGGGTATGGAAGATATGGAGAACATGGAGGATATGGAGGATATGGAGGATATGGAGGATACGGAGGATACGGAGGATATGGTGATAACGATGGAGGCTATGGATCCCAAAGATACAATGGCTATGGAAATCAGAGATTCAATGGCTACGGAAATCAAGGATACAATGGCTACGGAAATCAGGGATACAATGGCTACGGAAATCAGGGATACAATGGCTACGGAAATCAGGGATATGGAAACCAGGGATACAACAGATATCCCCAGTCTGGAAACTCTCAATCCGCTGCCAACGCAAATTCCGGTTCCTTCAACACTCCATTTGGCAGTGGATCCTTCGCCTCTGCCAATGCCAACTCCAGGTACAGCAATTTTTTTTTTCATCCATCGATTTATTCTAGAAGATTCAATATTCATTATTTTTTCACCCTTTCAGAAACGACAACGGAGAAATCTACTGAGAACGACTCGCCCTGACTGAAGAGCTACTGAATAATCATTCGTTCCTTGAAAAACATTTTCAACACCTGTGAATCGTCTTTAATTTATTAATTTTAATACAACCGCATGAATTACTCCTGAATTATTTATAAGTGTTCATATTTTTACTTCTGTGAATGAATCTAGGAAATATAAAAGTTAGGATTTTAGGATAATTCAATTTAATTCAATTCAATTCCTATCTCGAATGATTTCATCAATAAAAATAATGAATTTGTATCCTTAATAAATAAAGAAAAGCCTCTATTTTCTCAGATGATGGGAATTATTAATGAGTCACAGACGACACCTCGAAACCGGAAATGGTAATTGAAATGATTGGGGAATCGCAATCAGAAGAGCATTCTAGGATGAAATAATCCACGAGTTCATCGAATTGGATTCAAATTTAGAAAAATCTGAACCGAAGAGACAATTAATAACATTAACAATTTTTCGGGGGGCAGAAGAGAAGAATGAAGGCTTTCATTTTCGTGGGAAAATTAATTACACCTTTTATATTGAAAATAAAAATGGAATTTAGAAAACAGTTTATCTGTTCTCGCTCATCAGTTGATTCTCACGCATTCAAATCAGTCTCAAGAGAACTTGATTTCTTTATAATTCTTTATGGAGAGATATGACCGAGATATTGAGAGATGTGATTGCATGGATTAAAAACCAATGCTAGAACCACAGATGGTCAGGAATGCATTTGTGTATTTTCGAATTGCAGACTGTATTTCGTTATCAGTGGGAATCTTGCACGTAACGTACGGCTGTTTATTATAGGAATGTATAAAATATGAGACACATGGGAACGGGTCAATCGAGGATCCACCAGCTGCGTGCAAACATCAATCAGCCTTGGACAGGAATTGAACAAAAAAAGTCGATTGAGCAAACAGGAGACAAATCTGTCCAATTGTCACTGTAGTTGTCAATTGAAAATGATTTCTGAAACGAATTCGAAACCTAGAAAACAGAATATCACGAGGGAGGATCATGAATAATACCAGGGGATATGATTTTCTCCTGTCTAATAGCAGGATTAGTAAATATTTCATCAGGCTGTTACTATTCAAGATCATTACTGCCTCGTTGATGTTCTCCATCAGAGCGACCAAAGACAATGGCTACCATTCACTCTTGATTAAAGAAATTTATGAAAAACGTGGAACTTGTGGAATACTCATTTCATCAGCTGAGCACCATCAGTGTAAGTGCTAGCTATTCTAGTTTACCAGGTCACGATGGACTTCTTCAAGGTTCTAATTTGATTCACAGCATTTAAGGATCTTCGACGGTGGCATGGGCTGATCAAGACTTTATCGGACGACGGAATACCAACACTCATGATCACTTTCGGACAATTTGAGGAGAGATTCGAGTACTACACGAAGAATGCCGTTCGACCCCTCGTTGTCATTATTTTTGCGAGTGTCCAAGAGGTGTACAGCTTTAGTAAAATTGCCATGCACTTGGATATGACTTATGCTGTGTGGATTTTCTTGTTTGTCGACGAAGCTAGTGTGGGTAATTGTGAATTTTGTAGGAGTCCACACGGAAATTTATTGAATCTTAGATATAATACTGAAGCTGTTGTATCATGTTGTGGGACTAATATGATTGATGAGTGGTGGTCTGTTGTGAAAGGACACACAACTAGTCTTGAACTTGGACAATGGAACGATCAGAGTCAGGAGATCGAGTGGTTTTTCGATGATGCTCTTTACAACCGAAGACACTCCATCGGAGGTCAAGAATTTCGAATCGGCGGTGTCAAGGTAATGGTGTTGACATTATTTTTCTCAACACCTGCACGGAAAGTCCGCACTTTCCTTCCTGATAAGCGAGGGGGAAAGTGAGAAAGGGAAATTCAAGACTTTCCACCCTAGGGCGGAAATCATGCACTTCCCAATGATTTTTTAAAGAAGAGAGTAAAACACTCTTGAATCAATTGCTGAATAAATAAAAATGTGCATTGAATGAGTACTATCCGTTTAATTCCAGAAATCAATCTACTTTTGGGAGGAAAATGGCGTATTTTATGGATATCTAGGGGAATTTTTGAAAGAATTATCCCTCTCGTTAAATTTTACTCCAAAAGTGATCTGGCAAGAGGACTACGGAACCCGGAGTGATGAAACATCCGGATGGACCGGTGTCGTAGGATTACTCGAGCGAAGAGAAGCTGATCTAGTAATCTGCGAATTGCGCATGACTAATGAGCGATTTTACGTAGTTGATTACACAATTCCCATCGAAATCGGAGGTACACGTCTGTATCTGAGAAAACTAGACGCTGCAAGGCTCCATTGGAATGCTTACTTCAAGGTTCCGATCAATTTTATCCATCAAAATCCCACCGAGATCAAAATATTATCTCCATTTTCAGGCATTCGCAGTGGACGTGTGGGTAGTAATTATCAGTTTAATTATATCAGTGCCCATTCTTTTGACTCTCATCCAGTACAGGAGACACTCTTATTTCGTTCCACTAACGTTTGAGCATTATTCATGCATCTGGGGTATTTACTGCCAACAGGGGGTAGCAGGTACGATTAATTTTATCAATCGGTATTCGAGCATTGATTTTCATTTGATCAGTGATAATAAAATATTTGGAATAGTGTCCCCCAAACGAACGTCTTTGAGAATCGTTTATCTGTCAGTGTTCGTATCTGCTTTGGTGTGCTCTGGGGCATATTCAGCGTCATTGATCAGCTTCCTCGCTGTATCCTCCACTTATTCACCGTTTAATACCATGGAGGAATTTGTTAACGATGGTAGTTATCAACTAATAGTATTAAAAGGTAGTCCAGACTATGATATGTTCAAGGTAATTCCACTTCTTCATTTCCCATTCCTTCTTCACTGATATATTTCCAATTGTTCTCTTCAATTTGTTAACAGACATTAATACTAGGATGAATAAATTAATTAACAATATTTATATTGATATCCTTTTGATGGCACTGGAATATTTTTCTCGTTATTTTGTTATTTATTTATTTTTCGCAGACTTCTAATCTGACACTCGTGAAGAAGATGATGTCTCTCATGAAGCCGATAGATTTGTTGCCCCAGAGCTTTCAGGAAGCTTTTAATCAGGTATCAATTTATAATTTGAGTTCGATGCTTTCGACGTGCACATCTCTATCACTTGAAATTTCACTGAATCTCCAGGTGTGCACAGAGCAAGTCGTATTTTATACCCATGAAGCTATAAAAAAAGCTATGGCCAATAGAATAGATTGTGAAATAACTTCTGTATACAGTGGAACGACGGAAAACTTGGCATTGGCTCTTCCACGAAATAGCGACTACCGACAACTCGTTAATTCTCAGTAGGTGGAATTAAAAAAAAAATTTAATACCAGAGTGGAAAACTGGGGTGTGTGGATTTTTTTCGAGGTCAATTTTTAGCCGATATCTCGAAATTGGAGGAAGATAACGATTTTTTGATAGATACATTTTTTCCAGCTCTCAGTTTTTTCTATAAAAAATGTTTACATGAAAAATTCGCTATGTTCTTTCTATTCGGAGATATTGGGTAGAAACTCGTCTCGAGAAAAATGCACTTTACTCAGTTTACTGCTTGACTACAGAATTGTAAGTCAAC